GTGGTGACGGCGTGTGTCCTTGGCTGTGAACTGGGCCGCGCGGCTTGGCCGTGCGAGCGGGGCGCGTGCTAGCGGGAAGGTATACCAAATTGCTTGTTGATGGCGTAGGTGTCAGGCGCTCAGGCCTCCAACAGTTATTACCTCGCCTACTTGCCGGTCCGCACCATTATCTGCGTGTTCGCAAGTTGAATTCGCTGGGGGGTGAATAACGACTTGAGATGGTGGTTCCCCTCTTCAAACTGCCCATTTGTGCTCCATTATACGCGAGCTAAGTCGTCGTCCAGTCTGGCCTGTATAATAGCGAGGATAATCACGGCTCGCAATTTCATAGACTACACCAGACTACTTACCTACGTTTAGCCGGTCCTTCCTTTACATGATTCTACTACGCATGGACTATATCCAAACCGAACCCTGCAGCTCTTTCTGATTCATTCCTATACGAGACCGAAGGCTTAGTGATAGCACGTTTTTCTTTACTATTTTTACCCCGTCTCAGATGAGCTTTTGCACATGGTTTTGTAAAGCCCTAAACAAATGATAACCTGAGAAAGTAAGTTGAAAAGAATAAGGTGCAGCCCTTGCGCCCAGTCAGATTCCTCTGGCAGGTCATCGGGAACTTTCACATTGTGGGGGCGGGCATTATTGCGATGGAACATAATTCACTTCACTGAAAATTTCACATAAGTAGGCTCACTATAATTGCTACGCTCCTGGCGATCCTCTTCCAACAAGTCTTGCGTAATCAATTTTCCAGACAGTGACACTTCAAACATTTTTCGAAGCACGCACGGCAGTTGGAGGGCTAACATTAAACGGATCATAAATTTCCCCAACCGCAGTGGAAAAATTAAGTAGTAATCTCACCAAGTTACTCAAGAACGAGTGTTTTGGTCACGCATTCACTAGGTCATTAACTAGTAGGCTAAAGGACACCGTTTTAAAGCGACTACAGCACCTTACATACATTCTATCACCCAACACGTCAGGACCGTGTGTATTCGGCGTGCATTTTCTAGCTTCGCTAGTAGTAGCACCCCTTGGAAGTATGTATAATATGCTCCGCAGCTGGCTCAAGCAGGAATTATAGCTTGCAAGTGATTTTGAGATACAAAGTAGCATAATCAGGAAGAAAGATGATGAGATGTTGCTACGCGATAAAAATATGGATAATACTTTGACTAACACTTCCTAGAATCTCAAGTTCGTTCAAAACTTATATTTCATGAACGCACACCTGAGGCAGGGGAAAAATAAATTTTCTCGGCAAGAAGTCGCCTATTTATTAAGATAGCCATGGAAGAATAAGGGTAACGTACCTCCGATGATCGAACGGCACAGGTTAATTAAGCTACTTCGATCGACCGGCTTCATGCTGCCAACGATAAACGGAACTGAAAGAAGGAATACGAATGTTAGAATGTGGGGCTCAAAATACCGCTGTGTGTAAAATTAGGCGAGGGAAATCGACGAAAGCATGTGTTAAGGTGAGTGATGTTAAGATGAAGAAGACTCAGTCTTTAGAACGAGATGTTTAACCGTCTGAAGTTTCGGATACACGTCCGAACAGCGCGACAGAGGCAGCAATAGATAATGGTAGGGGAGTCGCTATATCATCACATAACTAAAAAAATTCGCAATTTCTGAATACAAAGTTAATGTCCCTGCTTAATTTGTTGACAGCTTCGTTGATCGCATCCGAATAGGCTAATTATGTGATGTCAACACCAGTTTTGCTTATGCATGTGATGAGTACTATACTATTAAGGTCCCCAGTGTTTCCATTCGGAGCAGTATCCACCCGCGTGCCCCGTGTGAGTAATTATTTTGGACAACGGGCCCGTGGCTCGATGGTTAGGGTGTTGAACCTCTAATTAATTGTTCGCGGGTTCAGACCGCAGGAGTTGCAAAACTCAGGGTTTGTGTGGCCAGGTGAGTACGGTTAATAAGCCCTTGCCGTTGTCGGTAATGTTGTGCTGATAATGCTTACTCTAGTGTGACTGTGTCTTTAAAAAAATATAGAAGGGGAGATTATAGTAGGCATAATGGCCAGAGAACCGAAGCAAGTAACTTGCGAGTCACGCGGTTGTAACCTATTGTGAGGATTTCCACCTCCTGAACCTAAAAGTGTGGCCAGGTGATGCAATTTGAGGATTGACACTCTCGTCAGTAATGATGCGTGTTCAGGCATCCACCCCCATAATAATCTTCGCTTTCCCAGACGTAGTTGTTTTGTCTGCAGTTGCATCAGAACCTGTAAACAACTCTAGACCTTTCCTATCACAGCAGCTGGTCTTTCGGGCTCGTCGATCGGCACCGGCTCGTTACTTGCAGTCAGTGTGAAACGTTGCATGCGAGAGCTGTGCAAAAATAAGAAAAGGCTATTCTGTGACTCCACGCAAAATTGATATACCGTTTAATTAAGTCTTTAGTTCCACTTTGGCATGCACCGGTTGAGGCCAATTAAAAAAAGACCTTAGCTCATGAAACTGGCGAGACAGGGTTGCCAAGATAGAACCGCACATGAAGTGAACGTAGGGCGGCAGCCATTGCGAGACATTATTAGCAAGCTCAGCACACTTCCGGATTCAATTGCGTGAACGGCTGCTCAGCCCGCGGGTATTCCGATGGACGAGTATAACTGCAGTCGTGGTAAACGGCCTATGAGATATATTATTTGATTCAACGAAGCCAAAAAACAGCACTTCGCAAAAATCACAAAGTGCAACAGAATGATCAGAGCCTTCTGGCTGAATGCCAAAGACAAAAATAATTCTGAAACTGAAATTGGAAAAGTCTGCAAAAAAGATCATAGTGTTTGCCTCTTAAACAATACTGTCAATTTTTCAGTCGCCCTTCTGACTCATTTCCCGCGTATTAAACGAAGTTAGAAGAATTAGCGTCGCTTTCAGGATTCGCCTGCGAGTTAGCGCCTAGCACTGTTATGAACCCCTAAATAATATCACTGTCATCAAAAGGCCACCGTCCCCTGTCCCATGGAACTTCTCTTATATTTTCCTTAGACTGCCGAGACTCGAATAGAGAAATATAACAGGATCTTACTCATGCCGAGGACCATCGCAGAGCCTAGAATTCATGCCGGCATTACTTATTTGGTCGATGAATATTTTTTGCCTTAGAAGAGGTGGAGTTCAGTTAAATTCCACCAAAAAAGGTTCAAATCTGGCAGCCAGGGTGGGAGGACTTTATGTTGTTACTTCCGAGCGCCTATAAAAATTTATCTGTGCAACTGACTAAATTGATTGAGTCCATTCCACTAGGTGATTGTACTGTAACTGGTCGCCCTTCACTGCAGTCGACTCACAGGAAAATTTATTCCGTAAAGCGCATATACAGGTAATAGGTGTGACAAAAACGATGGTTTATTTAACTCTGTCAAAACGTTTGGAATTGTCGTTCGTCCAGAAAAAAGTAAAAAACGACTATTCGAGGTGGCCGTCAAGAAAAAAATTTCAAGAGGACAGCGCAGCATGGTGAGTGCACTCAAAATTACTCGCCTGGTGCAGAAGCTCGGTCAAATATGTTCCCTGTTCATTCTGCAAATTCACCTGTTAGACTGCTTTATGAGTGAACGACCGTGAAGTTGAAGCGTAACCGGACTGCGAATTCATATAGCCCGACCCTGTGTGCTGCATACACCCGGAAGTCCTGTCCTCCAGCCCAAACCTGGCTGATGACGGCATCGAATCTACCAAATTAATAACTTCGTTAACAGCGTGAAAGCAAACCACTAGCACATTTCTGTTAGCTAGGCCGCCTG